TGAAAGACCTAGACTTCGTGACAACAGTACCACCGTGGTATTCTCAGAACATGCCGAAACCACTTTACGAGAACAAGAGGGGAAAAATAAACACTCTGGGACATGCCACTATATGCAGAACACGCAGAAGTGAGAAACAACAGGATAGACCGCTGTACGGTTATAGACAAGGAGAGGAAGAAAGTAGTGTTACTTGAAATGAGCTGTCCATGGGTCAGTAACAGAGAGATCAAATGTGCAGAGAAGACGAACAAGTACGCCCCACTGCGGTACGAATTAAGGAGGAGATACCCAGAGTACAAGATTGAGCAGAATAACATCATAATAGACGCACTTGGAGGGAGCTCGCGAAGGGTCAAGGAAAGCACACGCAAACTGGTTGGAAGTGGCCCATGTCACTCATTGCTAAGGAACATGCAGAAAGCTGTAGTCTCTAGCTCCCTTAACATTGCCAGGACTTTCGAGGTCCTATCCGACTAAGTTCTCCCAACGACGTTAGTTTTAAGTAGAGGTCTTAAACATTTATCTCCATTGTAGGGTCTATGGGTATACCATTTTAAAACTAGTCTTAGGTTTATTTGTGTCTGGACTTTAAGTTCCTATCGGACTAAGTTTCTTAAACGACGCTAGGTTCAAGCATAGGTTGATGGAACATTTATTTTCTTTTAGGGTCTAGGGGCACACATTTTTTTTAAAGTTTAGCTTTTATCTATGTAGTAGTGACAATTGAATAGGCTACGCCTTTGGCGTCCTATTTCAATTTTATTTGTATTCTGAAGCATTCAGAAGTGTACACTGCGATATCAATAATAATAATAAAGCTGAGGATATCGAATAATGATGATGATAATCAAGTCTTCGAGGCCATTGGGAACGAGATTGCAAATCAGACAAACTTAGATTCTCTAAATAATTGACCAGTCAAGATTCGTTCTTTTACTAAAGAGATTTGTTGCGCGCAATAAGTGACATACTTTCATAAAATCTTTATTCGAGACTGATCTCCTACAAAAGAGTTGAATTAATATCCAGTCTGCCTTCATCAACTTCACGTAGCTTAAAAAGTGGTTTGAAGAGGCAATGTTGGGTACACTTGTAGGATGTGGTTAGGATGACGTGACATCATTCGTAAGTGATCTTAGAATTCTTTCTCTTCTTATTCTAATTTAAGGTCTCTAAAAAGCAATGTTAGCAGAACACTGGATAAAAATATTGATCTAAATTGGTTTTATGTGCTTGGAAGATAGATACAATATACTTCGTCAAACGTAAACGGATCATGGCTATTTGAGCTCTTCAGGAACATTGATGCGTGCATAAAAAAAATGAAATAAATTTTGATCAGCATTAAAGGAACTAAAGGTCGGCACACACGAGGGGACTAGTCCCTGCGACTAGTCCGTGCGACTAGTCCCGGCGACAAGTCTTTGAAGGGTTTACACGAGGGGACCGGTAGCAGGGACTAGTCCCTTAAGGTGTTCACACGAGGGCACTCAATTGCACAAGAACATAGGAAAATTAAAAGGCAAAAGATGTTTCTTAGTCTGGGGCGTTACACGAAAACAGTGAAAATTTGGCAACTTTTCATTGTAGCACTATTAAACATCAACGCAAATGAACTACACTTATTCAGTCGGATTATTCATGCTTTTACGTGTTCCGTTTTTGTTTTTTTTNTACAGACGCCACACATAAACAAGTATTTGGAAGACGTAAAACCCATTGCAGAATGAAGGTTGTCCCTCCTTTTGGCCTCTTGAAGATCATATGAAAATAGATGGTAGTCGGCCTATTAACGATAACGTTCATGGATGCTAGCAACATTAAAGGTCGGCACACACGAGGGGACTAGTCCCTGCGACTAGTCCCAGCGACCAGTTTCATGCGACTAGTCCCTTCGTGTGAACTACACATTTCTGTGGTCGCAGGGACCAAAATTTGGTCCCTGCGACTGGTCGCACGAATTCAAACTGGTTTGAATTCGTGCGACCAGTCGCAGGGACTTGTCGCATGAAACAAATGTTTGTCCCTTCGTGTGAACTGTTTGTGCGACCAGTCCCTGCGACTAAACGGTAAATAAGCCAATCACGGGTCAGTATGATGCGTGACTTCCGGTATTTGTAAACATTGCAGTTTCTAATGATGAATTTTCCCTGACTTCTAGATTTCTACAACTGAAGAATAAAAAACTATTTCTAGTTTTGTAAACATATACAGATGTCTTGGAGCCGTTTTGATGGAATTTTTACCCTATTTGACTGTGTCTGTTAAAAATAAAATAAAAAAAACAAAAACGGAACACGTAAAAGCATGAATAATCCGACTGAATAAGTGTAGTTCGTTTGCGCTGATGTTTAATAGTGCTACAATGAAAAGTTACCAAATTTTAATTGTTTTCGTGTAACGCCCCAGACTAAGAAACATCTTTTGCCTCTTAATTTTCCTATGTTCTTGTGCAATTGAGTGCCCTCGTGTGAACACCTTAAGGGACTAGTCCCTGCTACCGGTCCCCTCGTGTAAACCCTTCAAAGACTTGTCGCCGGGACTAGTCGCACGGGCTAGTCCCCTCGTGTGTGACGACCTTAAAGAGAAACCGGGACGCTTCTCCTAGAATTTGTTTTAATCTTCTGTTAACTTTAATTTCCTGTTGCAGATTTTTTCGGTTCAGAAAGTGTTGTTATGATAGCAATTTAAAACATTTTAATTCATTCTAAAATTTGTGATATCTGTTTCAGCGGTATATGTTATGCTAAGCCTAGCGTGATATTCCCCTAAGTAAACATAATGTAAAATTTGAATAACACAAGTGGTTAGAATATCGCATCGTGACCCTTTGTTTAGTTGCAGTCTTTGTAACCGAAATCGTTACAAACATAACTGAAAGTTTTGAAGATGTCTTTCCCTCTGGCTCAGTCATTCGCAAATGGCTTTGGAGCCATCGAGATAAGAAATCAGTTTTGACAGTTTGGTTTCAAATTGACCCGGATTAGCGTTTATTTGAGGACGTTTTGCGGACGTTTTGTTTTTCACGGAAGAGATCAGATGAACGGTATAGTATTGGGTTTTTTCAAATCTATGATGCCTTCTAAAAGCTGTACGGCAAATCTGTTTGTGATGGTCTTCGTTACGGTTTCCTTAGAAGTAAGTGGAATTGTAGGTAAGTTGAAGTAACATTTAACTGAGAATATTGTGATAAAGCGTTCGCGGTTGAAAACTTTCAACTCGGTCACGCTTCGTGAGGGAATAATTACGAAGGTTATATCGATCTATGCAGCATTATTTCGATAAGGTTTGCTTTCGCATCGAAAAAGACATCTATGATCGAAGTAGTTGACGAAATTTTCCTTTTCTCGTTCCTTTGAAGGCGCGTTGCAACAACGAAAGGAGTTAAATTAATTTGGAGCCACCGCGACTATCTCATAGATAACATAGCAAGAATATTTACACCGAAATACAGTTGTATACCAATAGCTGCGCATAGAAGACCCCAGTGATTGTTGATAATTTCTGTTGAATAAATCGACGTTGTGAGATCACAGAGCCAGTGTGAAAAAGTTGTCACATACATTGTGAAGGTTTTTTTCTTTTTTAATCGTTTCTTTTTTGTCATTTTATTTTTAAAGGCTACGTCAGAACTGACCGTAAATACTTTTGAAAAAAAAAAAAAAAAAATAGAAAAACTCAGAGTTTAATAGTTTAGCCATTATATGATTAAATATTGTCAACACCACTTTCGATGAGATTTCTCGTGTTCTAAAGAGCCTTCGTTTATATTCTTCTCTTCGCTAGCACGACTTTAATGAATGATTATAGAGAATAACTAAAGACATGGTATGGCGCCTGTACATGTAACGTCAAACAACGCAATATACCATAATATAAAAATTCACAACTTGAATTAGCAGGCGATATTTGGACAAGTCGATGGACAAGTTTCTTGTCGAATAGGCTTCTTCACTTTACCTATTTATGCTTAAATGAAACAGTTCTCCATTTGGATTACGAGTGCGAAATGATCTCATTGCTGGCTGTTTTAAAACTGTTCGCATGCAGTGACGACACAAACTCATATGAACAATAGACAAATCCATTAATTTTGTATGCTACTTTATGCCATTTCGTCTCGGATATAGCATAATTGATGGACCAACAAGTTAATGATTTTTGAAACATCGAACAAGAAATATTTCAAGTGAATTTTTTAAGGTTAATGGATCGATCGATATCATATTTTTACGGTTTGGTGATTTTTTAAGTTCGTGACCAAATATATTCTTCCGATCTAATTTAGCAGCATCCGTAAGTTATTTATCTGAACAGTATATTTGACTGACATACTTGTGACAAACTTTCTGCCTGATACGCAAATGCATTTTTAGGTCACCTTCCCTAAATTCAAACTTGCACATAAAATGTGTTTTGGAGTCAGTATTTACAATTGAACGTAAGATATGTGTTTCTTACAAGTAAATTGTTTTCCAGATTAGCACTAAGGATTCGTACTTTCGGTCTCGCAA